AAAATTCAAAAAAAAAAATACAAAACCAAAAAAAAAAAAACTCTAATTCATCTTCTTCTCTCTCTTTCTCCAGCAGTGCTCTCTTTCTCCCATGGAACTGCTCTTCTTCTTAACCTTTCCATTCCTCTCTTGCTCTCCTCTTTATCTTTTCTTTTTTTTTAAAAAAATTTTGTAGTATGAATAGGTATTTTTTATGAACTTCACACTACAAGAAAACAATCGTTTTCCAACGGTCCATTACGACGGTTTAAAAGTCGTCGCAAACTTACAACGATTTTACGACGAATTTACGTAAAAAAAAACCGTCGTAAACTCGTCGTATAAAAACATCGTCGTAACTTCGACGTACAATTTACAACGAATTACGACGAATATACATCGATAACGAGAGATTTGATATTGAATGCAAAATCGTCGTAAATTCGATGTACAATTACGACGAATATACGAGGACTGTATATCGATGTAAAAGATACGACGATTTTACGTCGACACATAAGTTAGGTGACGAACATTTAAAACATGTTTACCTAACTAATGTAGAAGAAATATTTTATCGCATAGTCGTCGTAAAAGCGTCGTAATATTATTGTTGAATGTAAAATCGTCGTAAAAAGACGTCGTAAAACCGTCGTAAAGTCCGAAATTTTCCTATAAATAGATCTTCATTCCTTCTTTCAATCACAACACATCATCATTCAAACATAAGAACATTATCATCCTGGAGACCCATTGTAGGTCTCTTAAATTTTAGTATATTATTGTAAATCCTTATATATTGGGTTGTCCATTGCTGGAAACCCGAATTAGGAGTTATTTATTTTGAAAAAAGAAGTAATAATATTAAAAGGTTAATTTACTCCATTCACGTGGCTAGACGTGACACAAGAGACCAGCTCTCCTTTATTTTATAATCAATAAAAAGAGATAGTATTTTGACTTTATTTCAAGATATGTCTATATACGAGCTAAGAAGCTAGATGTATATGCGTAAAGATTCAGATGGGGCGTTGATAGAAGAGTTCAAGAACGGGTTAGAAATATTTATGTATCAGGCTACAAATATGGAGAAAACGAAAGATAGCGGAAAGATGTTCTCTCCTTGTTTGAAATGCAAAAATACGAGGTATACACTAACCAAAACCGTGTGGACGCATTTATTAAATAGAGGGTTTATGCCGCAATATTTTGTTTGGTATCTACATGGAGAAGGATATGGTAGTAATACTCATGGGAATGCTGGTAGTAGTAGTAATTATCAAAGTCATATTGATTTTGATGAATCGAATTATGGTCATCAGCCTAATCAGTATCAATCTGATCAAAGTGTAGATCATGATAGGATGCATGAGATGGTGACTGATGCATTTCATGAAACGCATACTGGTAATACTGTTGAGGAACCTAATGTAGATGCCAAACGATTTTATGATTTGTTAGACAATGCTAATCAGCCAATCTACGAAGGATGTAGAGAAGGCTTGTCTAAATTATCGTTGGCAGCTAGGATGATGTCAATTAAAACAGATCATAACCTGGCTGAGGTTTGCATGGATGATTGGGCTGATCTTCTGAAAGAGTATCTACCGGAGGATAACTTGGCAGCGGGAATATACTATGAAATACAAAAGTTGATTTTTAGTTTTGGTCTACCTTCTGAGATGATAGATGTGTTGACAATTGTATGATTTTTTGGAAAGATGATGATCAGCTGGAAGAATGTCGATTTTGCCAAAAACCAAGATACAGACCGCAAACTGGTGGGCGTAAAAGGATACAGTACCAACGTATGTGGTATCTCCCTATAACTGATAGGTTAAAACGGCTTTCTCAATCTGAAAGGACAGCTGCATCAATGAGATGGCATGCGGAACATACACAAGTAGATGGAGAAGTTGTTCATCCATCAGATGCAAAGGCATGGAAACACTTCAATATGGTATACCCAGATTTTGCTAAGTTCAAACGGAATGTCTATCTTGGTCTGTGCACTGATGGTTTTAGTCCATTTGGTATGTCTGGTAGACAATATTCATTATGGCCAGTAATCCTAACTCCTTATAACCTTCCTCCAGATTTGTGCATGCAAAGGGAATTTCTTTTCATAAGTATTTTGGTTCCAGGTCCAAATCATCCGAAGCGAGCTCTTGATGTATTTCTGCAGCCACTCATACATGAGTTGAATCAGTTATGGTATACTGGCGTTCGCACATATGACTGTTCTACAAGGAAAAATTTTACTATGCGGGCTGTGCTTATGTGGACAATAAGCAATTTCCCCGCTTATGGTATGCTATCAGGATGGACTACACATGGGAGGCTATCTTGTCCTTATTGTCTTCATCGAACTGATGCATTTCAGCTAAAACATGGTAGAAAAACTTGTTGGTTTGATTGTCACCGGAGGTTTTTACCGGATAACCATCCATATCGGAGGAACAGGAGGTTATTTATGAAGAACAAAAGTGTACATGTCCCTCCACCCGCAAATTTAACAGGAGCTGATATACAGGCGCAAAAATCGATCATTGGAGGGCAGAGGAAACAGTAACGCGTGGGGGGGGAAACTGGCACACTCCTGAAAATATGCCTGAAGGTTATGGAGTTCATCATAATTGGCACAAGAAAAGTATCTTTTGGCAACTACCTTATTGGAAAGATCATCTGCTTAGACACAATCTTGATGTCATGCACATTGAAAAAAAATTTTTTGATAACATCATGCATACAGTTATGAACGTAGCGGGAAGAACAAAAGACAATGGTAAGTCAAGACTGGACTTGCCTGATTTATGCAACAGAAGTGAGTTGCATCTACTGAGAAACAGGAAAACACCAGTTCCTGTATTTCGGTTGAGTGCAGATCAAAAGTCAGCATTGTTCAGATGGGTTTTTTCAGACGTTAAATTTCCTGATGGGTATGTCTCTAATCTTTCCAAATCTGTTGAGAAGGGGGTAAAGTTTTCTGGGATGAAAAGTCATGACTGCCATGTGTTTATGCAACGATTATTTCCATTTGCATTTGCTAAACTCTTGCCCAAAAATGTCCATGAAGCTATTGGAGGCATTGGTGCTTTTTTTCGGGATCTTAGTACACGAACATTATCAGTTGATGTAATATCACAACTGGCATTGAATATTCCAATCTTGTTGTACACTAATTCGTCGTAATGTTGAAATCCAAGAATTTGAATCTTTTATATCTTATTGGTTGTAAGGTATTTCACAATGTTTTTGATTGGTTATCTTATTTTATATGAAATGCTATCAATCTGATCAAAATCAAAAATTTGAAAAAAAACATACATATTTACAAGTTCATGCATGTTTTCTGAAATGTTAAGTGAAAGGTTATATATTAGATTACGGAATTTCAATATTTACTATCTCATGTCATAAATCCATCATACATGCAAAGTTGTAAACCTTTTGTTATATGTTAGGATACAATAACCTTTGCATTGTTCTTTATGCAATATCCCATTTTTAACATTTAGGGTTTAATCACTTTTTGAAAAAACTTCGTAAAACCGTCGTAATATAATCGTAACTTTACGACGGTTTTACGTCTAAGTTCTCTAAAACCGTTGTTGAACCGTTGTAACGTTTGCACCCGGATAGGCTCTTGATCCGAGGTACGAGGTTATAAATGTTTAGACGTTACGACGGTTTTACGACGGTTTTGGGTAAACTCGTCGTACAACCGTCGTAACGGTCAAACGCTCCCGTCATGACACGTGTCATGTCATGCAGTGGACCGACTGTTATACAACCGATTCGTCGTAAAATCGTCGTAACGTTACGACGATTTGACGACGATCACAAAATCTATATAAGAGACGCGAGTTTTCCCCCTTTGTCGCTCATTCTTCTCTACTCCTCTCTCTCTCTCTAAAAGCTTTCTCTCTCTAAACCTTAAACCTCTCCCTCACTCCATACTCTCCCAGCCAAATACTTGTAAGTTTTTTTTTAAAATTAATTTCATTACATATTTTTTTAGATTTAGGTTCGGAATTTAAATAGGCCCGGATTTTATAATTAAATATATGATAAATTAGTAACAAATATTTTTTAATTTTGTAGATTACGTTGATATGGCTCATCGGGCTAAGAGGTTTCACTACCAACAGCTGGTAGATTTAGACGGTACGGCCCCGTCTACCTCGGCGACCGGGTCAGTCATCCCAGAGTCCTCGGGAACACAACGGACGATTTCCCAACCGGTCGTTGTACCGCAGCCGGCACCGCCTCCACCTCCACCAGCCGAACCAGCGGCCCCCGCACCGGCCGATCCTGCTGTTCCGATCCAGCCTGTACCGTATGCCCAGTTTACGGTACATGATCTTCTATGCCAACCGGGTCGTGAGAATATGAACAAACTCGACCCGGATCGAGCCCCAGGAACATTTTGGTATAATTTTTTTAAAAATATTTTTAAATTAATTAATATTTATAATTATTTGAAATTAATTTACTTTTTTTTGTATTTGACTAGGTTTACGACCGACAATGCAGTCGGTCGTAACGTTGCAGATATCATCAAGGGGTTTTTCGTACAATCCCATACCAGCTGGAAGAAGCTGGATCAGGCCACACTTGACACAAGTGTTTTGCGGTAAGTACTTTACAATTTTGATTAATATTAAGTATTATTTTTATTTTTTACAATAATTACTAACTTTTTGTTTTTTTCCTATAGCAAAACTGGCATTGGGAAACATCCGCACACAGACGTGTGGAGACGGCCTTCAAGGAGAAGGTAAAATTCCGCCTCAACAACACTATTTCCGACTGGAAACGGAAGTGGGAGGTTGACGGCGACAAGGCCAAGCCGGCGCCTATGGCCGATACCGTCTGGCGGGGTCTTGTCCAGTACTGGTTGGATCTGCACAACCAGACTACTGCCGCCAAGTGTTCCGGATCCAGGTAACTTAATTAAATTAATAATTACATTATCTTATTTTCTACTTATAATATATTCTAATGAATATATTTTTCAGAAACGCTACTGATGATGCGGAAAATCGGAAGAACGTCCCGCACACTTCCGGCCAGATTCCTTTTGCCGGAAGACGCCTTATAATGGTAATTAACATTTAAATTATTAATTTTATGGTTTTGAAATAATTAACCCTTAGATGTCTTATAAATTTTTTCCTTTTGAATTTTTAGGTCGAAGAAAACGGGGGACAACTTCCTCCAATGACGAAGTTCTTCGCCGAGACGCATAAAAAGCGGAACATCGAATTCACGGATCCTCGGGCGGAGGAGATCTACAACGCCGCCTGTGCGCAGTCGAGGAGCGGCAGACGCAACTGACTTAACAGGCGCGTCCAACGTCTCCTAGAGGTAGTTCGGTCCAATCGACCCCGGCGCTGACCGTGGCGGAGATGGACCAGATCTTTGAAGAGGTAATTAATTTCAATTAATACATTTAATTAATGTAATTTTAATTTTAAATTCAAATTTTAACACTAATGTATTTAAATATTTTCAGGTTGCCCCTAAGAAAAAGGGGCGGGTATTAGGGATGGGATCCATCCGTGATACCCCGACAGCTACGGCGACAGGTCACGTCCGGGCCCTGGATCCGGTTATCCGCCAGGAGATCGACCAGATGCGGACCCACTACGAGACGAAGATCGACCAGCTGTACGGTCTCTTCGAGATCATGGGAGCCGACAACCCGGTGCTCATGGCGTAGTTGGACAGGCTGCGGGCTGATGGGGTTGTCGGATCGTCTGCCGGGTCATTTTCTAGGAGGCAACCACCGGTGCAGACGGACGAGGAGATGTTCCGGTCTCTCGGGGTTGATCCTCCTAGAACCGGAGATCAGGCGCCAGAAGCCTCTACCCGAAGACCCGGCAAAGAACACGTCGAAGACGATGGGGAGCAGGCCGGTGATGGGATCGACGACGTAGATTTAGATTTAGATTTTGATCTGTAGGGTTTTTTTTTAAATATTAAATTTAATTTTAATTTTCAAATTTAATTAAACTTTTAATTGTAAATTAATTTTTTTTAATTTAAATTCTAATTCGAATTAATTTTTTTTTTTAATTTTCAATTATATAAAACGTCGTATAATCGTCGTAATATAATTATTATTATTTTATAAAACCATCGTAATTTCGTCGTAAATAGTACGAGAAAATTACGACCAAAATGTACGACGACAAATACGACGGGTTTAGGTCCGTAATTTACGACGATTTTACGACGGAATGATCACATAATTTACGAGTAAATTACGACGAAACATGCGTTGTATATTTTACGACGATCTTACATCGATTTTTAACGACGACTTAACGACGGTCCAGGCGAAGACCAAATCGACGCAATTCGATGTAAAATCGTCGTAAACTGTACGACGCATTTACGACGATATGTTTCCCTCGATATTACGACGAAACAAAACCGTCGTATATTATACGACGGTTTTACGATGATTTGTCTATTACGACGATGAGTTTACGACGATTTTGAAATCATCGGTAGTCCGTCGTAATAGCCCAATTACGACGAAATAACGACCAATTTGGCCGTTGTAAAATGGTGTTTTTCTTGTAGTGTCAATTCAAAGCATTGATATTTCAGATCGAGAAAAAACACAACTAGCTCTACCGATTCTTTGTATCAAGGAGCCTCCAACGTTTCCAAGGTCGGAGATCTAGATCTTCTCATGGCTTCTACAATTCATTCTACTATTACGTGAGTTTTTTTTATTCATTTTTGATTTCTTTGATTTTTTTCTAGATCTGGGTTTTTGGATCTAATATTGATGATAAACTACGGAGATGCGGCGGTTGGCGGTTATAGAAAAAATTTATTTTGTGTTGTTTTGCAAATAACTTGTTTAATATGTGGTTCTCTTCAACAGAACGAGATTCTGGAGAATGAAAAAGATTTTCCGATGTGGAATGTTAAAGACTCTATTTCTTTGTTGTAAATTTGTAACGTATGATGGTAGATTTATTTGAAAATGATATGTAGTTTGGTAGATTATTAGTTATTTGATGGTAGATATATTTGGAAAATGATATGTGGTTTGGTAGATTTATTAGTTATTTAATAGTAAATTTATTTAAAAATCGATGTGGTTTGGTAGATTTATTAGTCATCTGATGATAGAATTATTTGTAAAACGATGTGGTTTGGTAGATTTATTAGTCATTCGATGGTAAATTATTTGAAAAACGATGTGTTTGATAGTTTTATTAGTTATTTATGGTAGATTTATCAGTCGTATATATTTGAATTTTATATATGAAAGATGACATTTGTTTGTTTTTTTTCTGAGAGATTATAGGCTTTGCAAAGGCGAACAAGTCTCCGATAGGATATCCAACATCGATCCGATGTGTTCTACTATGAATTGTATATTTGCATTTGGTAGATTTATTTTAAATGATGGTAGATTTATTATTAAATTGATGGTATATCTGTATTTGAATTTGTACAAATGCTAATTAGTTTTTAAATGATGATATCTTTGTTTTCAAATTATATTTGTTGCAAAACATTGACCCAAACATTTCATCTTTTTACCACATTTGCTAGTAATGTCATGATTCAATTCAATTTATTTTCTTTACTTTCACTTTGATATATATCGTAAGTGAATGAAATTTTAACCAAAACACATGACTAAAGTCATTTGACATTGTGATGTTCAAGGGTTTATGTATATAAAGTTAAATGAAACAAAATATTCAAAAATAAAAATCAGAAGATCATAAGTTAAAAGATGGTTATTACAGACAAAAACAAAAAGAACATAAGATAAATGTTTAAGTAAAACTAATAGGACATATATGTTCAAGGTTAATATGAAAAGCAAAGTTATATTAGAGAAAAAATATTCATGTTAGAAAAATTTTGACCATTGATTGTGGCGTCTATACCATAAAGACCAATAATCATTTGTGATCGAATCACAGTTAACCGGTGTAATCTCAGCAAATTTGTGCAAAGAAAATGTCAATGGTAACAAAACCAACTCAAATATAACCATGAAACAAGTCTATCATACGTACAAAACCTGTTTAACATACGACACCCAAAACAAGTCTACCACACCTCTGATTTTTTTGTAGATTGCATAATACATTTAGGGCAAAAAAAGTAATTTCAATTTAAAAAATCAAATGTCTACCAAACACATTACAACTAAGTCTACCTCAAGCATTGTAAATAACTCTACCATAGAAACAAGTCTACTATCAGGCACCACATATGTCTACCAAATCGAGGTTATCTGAGTAAATACCAAAATTATTTAATCTACCACATGAAGCTCTAATAGAAATCTACCATACATGCAATAACTCTACCAACTGCTCTTAAATCTACTAAAAAAACAAATAAATCTACCAACTTTTTATAAGTCTACCTCATGTAATAGTTAATCTACCACTTAACAGAATGTAATCACCAAATTTTTACTTGAATTTAAATCTACCATATTACATAAAAATCTACCACAAAAATGAAAAATCTACCAACTAGATATAACTCTACCAATTTCATAAATAATCTACCACAAAAGGAATAAATCTACCGTCACATTATGATAAATTTTCGTAAATAAATCTACCAACAAAGAAAATAAGTCTACCTATTCGGGTATTAAATCTACCTCTTTGTCAAAAAATCTACCGACAAACTCAACTATGCGAGTAAGTCAACGATTTCCTTAACAAGTCTACCAACACATTTGACAAGTGTGCCATACATAACAACAAATCTACCGAAACTTCACAAATCTACCTCTTATTGTCAAAATTCTACCAAGACAAATCTACCAATATTTTACAATTCTACCAACTCTCGAATAAATCTACCATCGTCCTAACAACTATGCCATTCAAAATATTGCGTTGGCCAAAATTTTATAAGTCTATCGTTAAAGCCTTGTAGATTTATCATTTTTTAAGCGCTAATTTTTGCCTACGTGGCACAGGAAAAATAATAGCATTTTTGTAATTAGGTTTTTTTCATCAAAGACGAAAAAGGTGTTTTGGATATACTAGATTAGTTTTGTAATAAAAATAAAAGTACGTCAAACAAACAATAAAGATGTTAGTACATTAATTCTTCCCTTAAATAATCGGTTTAAAAATCAAGTTATGAATCGGTTATTATAAATTCTAATGAACTATTTTTTATTTTAATATATATATATATATATATATAAATAATCGGTTTGAAAATCAAATGTGTGTTATAAATCGGTTAATATAAATTCGGGTGGACTATTTTTTATCTTAATATATACTCTATATATATATAGTAAACATTAAGTCTCATCATTTTTTTTATTTTGTCGACTACTACCTTTCATTTAAGCCCAATAAATGGACAGGATATCTATAATTTGTTTTGTTTTTCTGGAGCCCAACATTTCCATACCAATACAACATCCCATTAGTTCAACAAAATTAACATAAAACAAAAGATAAACAGGAGACACGGGTGTAACACGTATGGTGCAAAAGATGATGGCCGATGAACATCAAGTTTTTATTTCTCACTCGTCGAATCAAGACGAACAACCGTCTGGTTATTTCGATTCATAGCAAATATTTGGATTTTTCGATCGAGTCAAGATGAATATTGAATAAAAGAAAATCCAAAGTATAATTTGCCCAACCCTAAACTTGCCATGAGGTAAATAAATACGCCGATTGGGACATTTTGTGTCGTTATACAATTACCATTAGATTAGAGAAAATTATTTAGAATAACCTACTTTTTTTTGAAATGGCTAGAATAACAGATAATATATTTTATTATCTATATAACTTAATAATCACTTTAAAATGATTGTAACTCCTAAATTATCCTTATTATCATTATTAATTATTATTATTTATTATTTAATTTCAAATTCATTTTAATATTGAAAATCGAATAATAATTTATCAAAAAAGGATATTAATGATATCTTTAATTTAAATCCCTAAATTAAATATAATATTTGACAAATTTTCTCAAATATAATTCACCAATACACTTTGACGTAGCTTGTCGATGATGATGAGATTTAATTTCTGAAAATTTGCCACCAGAATAAACATATATCTCATCTTAACAAAATGAGATTTAGATTAATGAACACAACAAAATCATACAATCCCGAGACAGCAAAAAATTACCTTCATAAGGTGCCATCTTTCAAAATCTCGACACACAGAATATGACTTTTCCTCTATGTATGTTTAACCAGAGTGCTTCAAAATCAATATCATGTTTACCAAACACTACACATTTGATTTTGACACTCCTAAAAACATAACCAAATGTCAACTTAACTA